GCGTGCAGCTGGATACAGACCAAACTTCAGACACAGCAGCAGCACAATATCATCTGTGTGACAATAGCATGAAATCTGCTTCCATCAGCAGAGGAGGCTCCTTAGCCTGGTGCATCGTTACTGCTCCAACCTCCTCCAAGTCTGACTAACACCAGAGTCAAGGAAGACTTGGTTCTTGGTCAAAGAATCCTAGACTGATAGGATTTTTTAGGTTGGAAAAGCCCTCTAAGATCGTTGAGTCCAGCTGTTAACCCAGAACTGCCAAATGCACCACCAAATACCACATCTACACATTTTTAAAATACCTTCAGGGATGGCCACCATTTCCCTGAGCAGCCTGTTACATTGCTGGACAAACCTTTCCATTAAGAATTTTTTTCTGATATAAAATCTAGATCTTTCCTTGTACAACCTTAAGCCATTTTCTCTTGTCCTATTGTTTTATTATCTGGGAGAAAAGACCAACCCTCACCTCACTACAGCCTCCTCTCTGGTAGCTGTAGATAGTGATAAGATATCCACCAAGCCTCTTTTTCTCCAGGCTAAATGCCCTCAGCTCTCTCAACCACTCCTCATAGGATTTGTGGTCTGAACCTTTCACCAGCTTTGTTGCTCTTCTTTGGATGTCCTCTGACACCTCAATGCCTTTCTTATAGTGGGGGTCTCTTGAGCACAGTACTCGAGGTGTGGTACTTGTATCACCAACAAAAGCCTCAGCACTGGCTCAGGAGACTTACAGATGTGGGATGTGGTCTGAAACATCTGCAAAAGTTGTGTCTTCTGTCTTCTCAGGGAAAGCTGTGCCTACTTGGTTACAACATCTTTCATTAAATAAAACTGAAAGCCCAGCAATTCTGCAGCCTGCACTAATCTTTCACCAGTGTAAGTGGCTCCAGGGAGGGGAGAGCAGCAGGAAAAGTAAATTAACCATACTGGAATTAATTTTGTATTTGCCACATGCTTAAAGTGCAGCTTTTCTGTCTGGGTATTTTCATAAGCAATGAGGTTGCAGACATAGCATTTTTCACCATATTTCCCCTGCTTTGGAGTACTTAACATGCACTTTTATGGCTGAAAAAAATGTCATGATTGGCCAGCTGCTAACACAAAATGCATTTTTACACTAATGGCAAGGTATTCTAGCTTTTATTTTATAAAATTGCACTGACTGCATATTTACATAAACCTTACATCTGTTTAGTTAAGTTAAGCCAGAGGGTGATGATCTTTGTCTTTACAAAAGAGCTGATTTAATTTTATTGAAGAAAGCTTTCTATTAAAAAGATCAAAGTCAGTGCAGCCCCCTGCAGCAACAACTTAAAAGTTTCTTCAACTATTCAAATTAATGAAGTATGGTAACTGAGACTGAATAAGCAGGAAAAAGTAAAAAAGAAAATAAAAATAAAAATAAAAATAAAAATAAAAATAAAAATAAAAATAAAAATAAAAATAAAAATAAAAATAAATAAAAATAAAAACTCCTTGGGTGCTTTGTTTATCATGAACTTTGAGAGAGACATATTTTCTTTCATCAAAGTCCCATTGAGTGTCCTGACTCTTCTGCCTCTGAAAAGGCAGGAATTGATAGCAGAAGCAGCATGCACAGTTTGCAACAAATTTTTAGAAGCTGGTAATGCTGTGGGGAAAAGGCACAGATTCAGTGAAGAAAATCTAGCAAAGAATTGGCCTCTCTAGCTTCCATGTGCTTGTTCCAGGCACTAGTGAACTCCTACTTGATAAAATATCAGTTTGCATATAAAATTGCTTGGTGACTCTACAGAAAATAATGGTGAAAATAATGAGTTTGAAACTATAGATGTAGTGGAGATGGATATGTCATGCCTTCTGAGAGAGCTCTCAAGTCACCTCCTAGCCTCTGACTTTGTGGAAATTGTCTTGCAAACTTAAAATTTTGGAGGGGAATGGCTAAACATCTGCCTTATATTTCATTCCTGAAATTTGGTATTTGCTTGCAAGTAGCTTCCTCACCTCTCAAGCTGACAGCAGCATTTGCTACTGATACATTGGGTGAGGCCACAGCTATACCTCATGCTATGGCAGGATGGGGTCAAACCCGCTCCAAAATTCAATCTTTGTGCCTGCCCAGAGGTTATATCTGGCAGGCAGCCCAGGAATATGGACCAAAGAAACTGTAGCATGTTCCAACTTAGCCCTCAATTAGAATGCTGATGAAACTGGCCCCAAAGTCTGTTTTGACTCCAAGAAAACCTTTCCCAGAGATCTGTTTTGCTTCTACATCTCCTCTACACAATATATCCACATTAGAACTTGAGCTTGAACCAGCAGAGCATTGTGGCAGCTTTCCTCCTGACCACCCATCCTTACCACTCTTTGCTTCATGTGCTGAAACCATCCTGGCATCTATCAACTGGACTCCATCCAGACAAATCTACACAAAAAAATCTGGTGTAGGAGTGCACTTACTGCACTACAGCTGCTAATATGAGGGCAGTCAATGTCACCAGATTATAGATGGTCTAAAATAAACCTGAAATACAGAGAGGGAAAACCCTGGGTCCCCCGTGCCAGCTCCTCTGTGCTACAGATCATCCCCACTTGTTCCAGGACACCTGCTAATGTAGACTCAACCCAAAGAGGCTGCACTGCTGCTCTCTAACCCTCTCACTGTTTAAATGGGTGAATAGTGCCATTTTAGGCACCATATGGTATCCCTGCAGGCCTCCAGCTGCCACTCTGCAGATCAACAGCTCAACCAAATGTCTCGTGTCATATCTGGCACCCCCACGCAGACATCTCAGATACTTTAGGGAGACTAACTGCTGTGGATGGCTATGTTTAGACAACTGAATACCATTTTATTTTAGCACCTATTCCCTTCTATACCAAAAAAATGAAGAAAATTATATTAAAAATGAGATGGAGATGCTTGAAATACTATAGTGTGTTTTATGAAATAAAATATACAATATAAAATAAAATAAATAATAAAAAATGAATTTATTGAAAAATTAATTTAAAACTCTTTTTTTAATAAACTGAAAAGTATACAAATCTTAATCTGACAACAACAGAAGTATTGTTTCATCCTTCAAGAAACAGCTAAATTTTACAAATTGCATTTATTATTGAGTAAGGGCTGAATTCACTGGCTTTAACAGAATAATTGCAAAACTTGAGATTCAGTTTCTTTTGTGTAATTTACTGGCCTAATGACCCAGATGCTCTGAGAACTGTAACATTAGAGTCTTTGCCGGACTATATTCTAAAGCTAGTGAATCAATAAATTATTAAATTACTAATAGTAATAGTAATGAATGTAATCATAGTAATAAATTAAACAGGCTTTGGCATGTTTTCAGCCCTGAGGGTGACAGAGATCAGTCTTTCTCTGTTACTAACTCCTGGTGTCCAGCATGGGCTGGCCAGGGATGCTCTCCAGGCTGGCCATGCTCAGGACTGCCTGGCAGAGGCTGGTGGCCATGGGCCTGCGCTGTGTCATGGCTTAACCTGCCTTACACAGGATTTCCTACACAGCGAGCATCCTCCAAAGCTGCAGAAGAACATTTTTACGTGCCGAGGAACAGCCTAAATTTCTGAATCTGCGTGGAAATACTTGAAGATTACAGATCTTTCAAACACTAAAACAAAAATCCTGACCTCTGGTGGCCATCAAACTGTCCAGCAAAAGTTTCTGTCGGTTTCTAGCCCAGGTGATGCTCTTGCTGGGAGCAGGATGGCCATTCGTGTATTCCTGCTGCTCCTCTCCAGACCTGCCTGTGCACCAGGATTCATTGGCAAACTTCACATTTGAACATCTCTGTGGGCCCAGAGGAGGCCATAAATGAGATCGGAGGGCTGGAGCACCTCTCCTACAAAGGCAGGCTGAGAGAGCTGGGGTGTTCAGCCTGGAGAAGTGAATGCTTTGGGAGACCTTGAAACAGCCTCCAGTACCTAAAAGGGTCTTATAAACAAGAGGAAGAATAACTTTTCACATGGCAGATAGTGACAGGACAAGGTTAAATAGTTTTGAACTAAAAGAGGGGAGATTTAGATTAGATAATTGGAAGAAATTCTTTTCTGCGAGGCTGTTGAGGCACTGAAACAGATTGCCCAGAGAAGTTGAGGATGCCTCATCCCTGGATGTGTTCAAGTCCAGGTTTAATGGGCCCCTGAGTAACTGGATCTAGTGGGTGGTACCCCAGCCCACCGCAGGGGGTTTGGAACTAAATGATCCTTGAAGTCCCTTCTAACCTAAGCCATTTTTTTTGGATTCTGTGATTTGTCCTAAATGTAAATGAAATGCAGTATTTTTAGATATTGTGGACAAAAATCTGGCAGGAATGTCACAGGAATGGGAAGTATGGGAGTGGGTCTGCAAATTAACATAAAGCATGTGGCACAAGCTACTTGCAGACCTTTAATTCTAACAAAGGTTTGAAAAGGGGAATGTTTGTTTTTTCTGCCTTGCTTTGCTGTGCTCCTAGTCTGCATCAGTAGCTTTGGGTTCTAGATAAATTTAGACTGTGAATATATTCTGCATGTGTGTAATTGATAATGTCTGATGTCAGTTTTTGCAGATATATATTACCAGCACCTTTGCAAATACAAACCTACACTTCTAAGAACACAGCATCAAAATCCGTAAAGTCTGGCTTCATGTGCTAGTTTGCATAAGGAGAAAGGGCAAGTGGAATTTCTCAGGCCATGTGATCTTTTACCTGGACAAGCTAAGACTACAAAATATTTAGGACCGGCACATATTTGCACCCTGATCATTCATATGCAGTAGTGTCTTCTATATAAGATTTTCCTGTATCGTCTGAGTACCTGAATGCCTTATAATTTCTAGAATAATTGGAGCATCTACAAGTATGCATTTTCAGTTTGCTGCATGGTATATCCAAAGGCTGCTGAAATAAAAATATTATACGAAACAAAACAGCATCTATTTCTAGAATTTATAAATGTATAGAATGTATAAATTATATAGTAAATTAATAACATACTCAAAACCATTAAACAGTGCATGAATAAAATGTATTTTTAGAAGTTTTTCTTTCTATCACCTTGTATATACAGACTGGATATAGGAATTACAGTACCAAGTATGTTTTTATTTAGAAGACAGATTCATTGATAATTGCACTTGTTTAAAACAGGAAAGTAAGTAAAAGTGTTCTAAATCAAATTTACATTTTAAGATTTTTTTTATGGAACTGTGATTTTTTCTGGTCTCACAAAGGCTTATGCATATGTTTTACTTTTACACTTAGGAGTAACAATAGTTAAACTAATATACATAAAAATAAGCTTTTGCAGACCTGAAGTCTTGATGTAGCCTGCTTTCACATTCAACCTGCTCAAACACCCACACAAAAAGAAAGATGAACTGAAAAAGTGCAATCATTCCCATTGCTCAGAATCTCTATAGTTTTTCATTTCACATTCTCTCAAAAGAATACTAGATCTCATTAACAAATATTAATAGGATAAAGAAAAATTTTGTTTAAAAATACTTTAGTGATCATTTATAAGTTTTTAATTTTGGGTTCTCCTCAAGTCTCTGTTTCTCATTTGCTGGCATTTTCTGGTTTCCCTCTGAAAATAATTGATATTTTATTTGAATATATAAACAGATTTGGACTTTATTACTTAGAGCCCTTGGTGTTTACTGGCACTCATTTACAACACTTTTTTTTTCCAGGATTCCCATCACAGCAACAGCTGCTCATCTTCTATTCCAAAAAAAAAAAAAAACTCAACACTGGGCACGATTTTCTGTTCCTAAATGCTATGATCATTTCATGGTTTTAGTGCTGATATTTCAGCCTCTCTTGGGCATCTAATCTCCTGATGCAGTGCAGCAAATTTTGGTACACAATGGATTGGGGAATAGGTTCTCCTGGTGATGAAGATGCAACATGATAGCATCTCAAAATGTCCTGGTGTCAGAAAAGCACTGAGGCACTTCATACATGACTGTAGTATGTTTGTTTCTTTACTAAGAATGCTGAATGACGTGAATAGTATTTTGCCTTATATAGAAAAGTAGAGTAGCAACAACTAAACAGATACCCTGCACAGATTACTGTAGACAGAATAAAACTGTATTCAGTATTTCTATGAGACAAAACACATGACTGTGCATTTTTAAGTACCAAAACCAGTGGGGCAATAAAAAGTATCTTTTAAGTGCTACTACAGTTTAAAATTTTCTTTTAAAAAGCACAGTGTTTCTTAATTAATTGTAGAACAGTCTTGAGAACCTCTTCCTTGGAGGGGCTGGCATCAACCTCTTGGCATACAGGATTCACCATCCTTTTGTATGACTCTTCAACACTAAAACCAAAACAAGAGAAATTAGACTTCAAAATGCAGGGATATGAAATTAAATCAGTTGTTAGTCTCAGAAGACAGTGCTCACATTGCAGAGACAGAGGATAGAAAATCTAATAGGAAGCTAAGAATGAAATCTCTTGCAAAGAGCAATAAACCATTCGTAACTATTACAATGTAAATCTCAAACCACGTAGTTTCCTTGACATTGATTCCCAGAGCTCCAGCCATATTAACAAGGCATGGCATAAAGTATTTCTTTCTTTATGGCTTATCACTGAATAGTCTGGTATAGCAGTAGAGTGGACAGTCTGCTTCTTGTGCCCAAATTAATTTTTTTCTGTTTCTGCTAAGGTATCTCTGAACTATATGGCATTGCATTGTGTAGTTAGTTGTACACATTGATCTCAGCTTTGACTCATTAGATTACAGAGTTGACGTATCCTTCGACCCCTTCCTCTGATCAATTAAGCAGATGAATAACAGGATAAAATACAGAATGAAAACCTCCCCACTTAGGCTATAAGCCTAATGAAAAACTCTCCCACATTTAGTCTTTGAGAGTGTGAATGAGGATGTGAATATTATTTTTAATATTATGGGACCATAATATTATGTTCTCATAATGCTATTTAGGACAGAAGTCACAAGACAAACCAAGGAAGATTCTGGATATTCTCATATTCAGATTGACATAATAAACAGGTAGAAGTAACTAAAAGCTTTCTGACACAAATATGCTGTAAAAGAATTAAAATGTAAAAGATGCTTAAATGGCAGTATGTTCCCTAGCTAACTCATCCCTCTGCAGGTCCCACTATACAAACTGTGTGTCCACACAGCGTTTCTGTCAAAATTAAGCAATCGCAGAATCACAGAATGTTAAGGGGCTGGAATGGACCTGAAAAATCATCTAATCATCTCCCTTCCAGACCAAGTTGCTTAAGGCCTTATCCAACCTGACTTGGAACTCTGACAGAGTTGGGGCATCCACAGCATCTCTGGGAAACCTGTTTCAGTATCTCACCACCCTCACAGTGAAAAGTTTCTTCATAATAGCTAACATAAATTCCCTCTCTTTCCATCTGTATCCATTACTCCTTGTTCTACCTCTACAGTTCCTGATGAAGAGTCCCTCTCTGGCTTCCCTGTAGGCCATTTCAGATACTGGAAGGTTGCTATGAAGTGTCCACTCAGCCTTCTCTTTTCCAGGCTGAACAGCCCCCCCTTTCTCAGTCTGCTTTTATAGAGGAGGTGCTCCAGTTCTTTGTGACCCTCCTCTGAGCTTGCTCCAACAATTCCATGTTTTTCTTAGGTTGGAGACATCAAAACTGGACTCAGCACTTTAGGTGGGGTATCACAAGAGCAATGTATAGGAGGAGAATCCCCTGGTTCAACCTGCTGGCCATGGTGCACAGATGCAGCCCAGGGCACAGCTGGCGTTCTGGGCTGTGAGTGCACATTGCCAGCTCATGATGAGTTTTTCATCAACCATCACCATCAAGTCTTTCTCTGAAGGGCACTCTCAATCACTTCCCCATCCAACCTGTAGATATGCTTGGGATTGCCACGACCCAGGTGTTGGACATTGTACTTCCCTTTGTTGAATTTCATGAAGTTTACACAGGCCCACCTCTCAGGCCTGTCCAGGTTCCTCTGGATGGCGTTCCTTCCCTCCCATATATCCACTGCACCACACAGTTTGGTCTTGTCTGCACATCTGCTGAGGGTACACTCGCTTCCACTGTCCATGTCACCAAAAAGATGCTGAATAGTATCAGCCCCAGTAGCTACCCAGGGGACACCACTTGTCTTTGGTTCCCATGTGGACAGCAAGATCTTGGCCATGACTCTTTGTGTGCTGCCATCCAGACAATTCTTCATTCACTGAATGGTCCATTGATCAAATCCATGTCTCTCAAATCTGAAGATGAGGATGTCATGTGGGACACTGTCAAATACTTTGCAGAAGTCCCAGCAGATGTCATCAGTTACTCTGCCTCATTCACCAATGTTGAATTTGTCAGGCAAAATATCCCCTTTGTAAAGCCACTTTGGCTTCACAAATTATAGCTACTTTTGACTTTACAATATTTTTAAGTCATTCTATCACCAGAAATTTAAAAGTCTAAAGGTAGATTTCAGCCCTGCTTGTAGATATGGAAACCAATATTCAAGTGTCTCTACTGAGCTGTCTACACGAACACTGGGTATTTGAGTTTCCACCATAGACAAAGATGATCTAATCAATACATTTGGCAGAGCCTAGATAGCAGTTCAGCACACCCTGAAGTAGGATACCTAGGGTGCCGTTCATTTGCTTAAGTTAATGTACCTAGTACTGCTTGAGATGCTCTGAACTATCTCATTTAGCTTCCAGTTCCTAGTCCAGAAAATGTCCACAGGTTCTGCATCACATCTTATATCAAAAGGCTTTAGATACTTAAGTTTAGATCACTGAGCTCCAAATGAGTGGTGAGATTAATCACTTTGAAGGCTCCATTGAATATATTGACTATAGTGGTACCTGAAACACTCTGCACAATTAATGACATATAGAAGAGGATGTTTTAATTTTATTCTCTTAATCTGGAGCTCAGTTCCAGAATTTCCTGAGGAAGCTGTGTGTTTCAACTTTTTGCCTACCAGTCCTGGAACTCTTAAGTCCATCTCATTCATGACCTCACTGAGAAAGATGCTAGAATTTACCCTTCCTAACAGACATGCATTCTTTCCAAAAAAAAAAAAAAAAAAAAAACCCAAACAAAAAAAGCTTAAACCAAAAGCTTATACAGAGGAAATTCTTGTGGAAATTCTTGTCCCAATAATGTGAGAGTCACATTTGTTATTGATTCCACAGGAGCCAAGTTTGCCTCCAGCCTCTTATTCCCCATTAAAGGCTACCTTTGGCGAAACAAGCTGTTAGCTTCCAACTCAGCTTCCTCCTTTGTTTTCTCCAACCCGCGATGCTGAAGTCTCCGGGCTCGTTCTTCAGGGTTAACAGTCAGGAGAAGAACAAGATCAGGTTTAAGAAGATCCTCAGGCCACTGATACACCTCATCTTGAGCTGGTGGAAGATCCTGGACTTTCTCACTTGTTTCAGTGGCAATCGCGTAGGCAGCTGTGCTGTGCCAGTATCTGTCAGGAAAGTACAAAATGGAGAGAGAGAAATTTTAAAGAGAACATTAATTTTTCAATAATATAGGAGACAGTTGGCATTATAACAAGTCAATAATGATGAGGTAGATGACACCGTGGCTTTGAAGGGAAATCTGAATAACAGTTCTGTGCTATCCATTATTTCTTAACAATGATAATAGTGCATTATTCAGAGTTAATGTGAACTATTAATTAAAACATTATGTAGAGACTGTTTCAGATATTCCTATCAAAAGAAAGTCTCCTCATATATTGAGACAGGTCAAAGAAGAGTTACAATATATCTCAAAATCCTTTACTCTGAGTCCCCTTTTTTGTGGTTCCCATCCTACTTACTGCAATAGATTTGGCAGAGAACATGCAGTCTTCAAAAACATGTCAATGAACATAGGCATTACTAATGTTACTAATCTCACATGCATTTAACATTCTCCCCACTACAAGGCATTGTGTTTGATACATTTCAGTGGATTTGGGGCTGATTGAAAATAGCACTCACATGCAAACAACGTATATGTGTATGTGTGTGTGTGTTCTAGCCCAAGGTTACAGTACACCTACTGAAATAAGCCAGAGGGTTCAAAGTACATCTAGACTTTTTTATGAACCCTAATAATGTAAGCTGCCTACACAGTTAGTGAAAACCAGAAATAACACAAACAAAAAAGTGGGAAGCATATCTCTGTGTTTAAATTCAGAAAGAGCAAGTCTACCTAAAACTCAGTCATTCCAATCCACCTATATCTGAGACGCATCTTAGAGATGACAATGACTATCCATGAGCAGCAGCCCACAGTCTCCTCTGGTTTGTCACAAAACACTGGTTTAGCTCAGGATGCACAATCTGTTCCTTCACTATTCCTAACTGAAGATGTAACAATTTTCATGCGTCCTAAAGCTAGTTATGAGTATTACAGTGATTGAAGTTCCCTATTTTACTGTTCTCATAAGTGTTACTCTTTAGAAGATATAATATTTATCTGACTCTCTGCAGAGTGCTTCCAAAAAAACCCTAAACAAACTACAAAAAAAAAAACCAAAACAAAACCCCTGAAGAAACACAGAGATGATCACTGACTGCTTGTAACACTGAACAATTGTATGATGGCACTGATATAAGAGGGCTTCTTAAATACACAAACCTGTCTATGATCACAGGTGCCTGTGTGGATGCTTTTGCAATCTCTGAAGCCAGAATGTAGTTGCCCGCAGCATAAAATGCTCTTTTAATGGGTGTTGGCTCATCATCAAATACAGTCCTCCACTGGCTGATGCAGGCTGGTGGGGACTGCAGCAGAATGCCATTCAAGGCGTCCTTAACAGCCTGGGTCACTGTGGTTTTACCTGCATTTCATTCACAGAAGGAAACATTCATTATATTATTTACCAGATACACCTGAGTTTTAAAAACTGAAAAACGCTCGTGTCTGTTCATGTGGCGTACAGGTTCTGACATCTGAATATCTAACCTGAGCATCTTGTCATAAGGTTTCCAGTGGAAAATGATTCTGAGTCTGGTTGCAGGAATTATTACTCCCTTTCCTGCTCTCTGGGCCTTCCAGCCCTTCCTTTAGCCAGTTTTCAGTTTTCACTCCCTTAAATGCATTAGGTGCATGTCAATTTCTCTATATATTCATGGCAATTTCCATATATATTAATTTATAATATTTTTTCTCAGTTGCAATTTATGTAAATGTTCCCATGCTGGTTATCCAATTCCTTCTTTTTATGAGGATTTTCAGTTCTCTTTAACTGACAAGTTAAAAAAACAAAGCTAGTCAGAAGCAAGTAATATTTCTTAGACAAACTGCTGGCAGTTCCCCAGACTACCACTAGTTTAGTACATTTATTTGAAAACTCTCCAGTAAAAGTATGTTTCATCATCTGAACAAGAAATTTAATTTTCAGTACTCCACTCTGTATTCTTTAATTTCTATAGGTAAGGAATAAACCACTGAATGTAAATTAGCATACAGTAATCTTTTACAAGTAAGAGAAGACAGATTGATATTTGTAATTATTAATTCCTTATCTGTCACAGGTTTCCGAGATTTTTAAATTTTTATTTTAAAGATTTATGCCTAATAAAAACAGTAGCAGCTGCTCCTTTCAACAATTTCTCATCTGAGGTTCTTCAACCACATGTTGCTCTTACCTGTGGCATCCAGCCCCTCAAAAACTATGACGGGAAAACTTCCCTTTTTTTGGTGCTCTGGGCATTTCTCCAGCAGGTCGAGTACTGCTTCGGCCTCTGGGATCCGTTCTGCACACTGCAAGGAGAGATCGCAGAATGCGTTGGGTCGGAAGGGACCTTTAAAGACCATCTAGTCCAACCCCCATGCAGAGCACTGGACCATCCTAAACTAGATCAGGTCTATTAGATCCCCGTCCAACCTGACCCGGAATGTTTCAAGAGATGGGACATCCATCACCGCTCCGGGCAACCTATGTCAGTGTTTCACCACCCTCATCGTAAAAAACTTCTTCCTTACATCTGGTCAGAACCTGCCCTCCCTTCGTTTAAAACGATTACCTCTCGTTCCCTTGGCACCCGCCCGCCCCACGGCGCTGGAGAGCCGAGCGGGGCTCCGCGCCCGCGGTGCTGACCTGGCGCAGGCGCTGGCGGAGGGCGCTGGCGGAGGGCGGCAGGGCACGGGCCACGGGCCGGGGGCACGGGGAGCCCGGGGCGCAGCGCCCCAGCATCGCCGGGAGCCGGCGAGCCGTGAGCAGCGAGCCGGGAGCCGGGAGCAGCGAGCCGGG